GCTCAGAGCAGTGTGAATAATATATGCCCCATTCATAAAAAATAAAATATGAATAAATATATATATCTATATACTTATTTCATATATAGATTTAATATTTATGCATAGAATATCCCCCAAAAGACATACAAGAACCTGGGAGCTTGAGTGTCATCAGGGTGGGACTGGAGTGTTGAGGGTCAGGGTGGGGTGAGGCATTTCACCAATGTCTTCATATTTCGAATTTCAACAGTAAGTATCATTTTAAAAAGTATAGAAAGTTTACTAACTACTAACAGTTTATAACTCATTCTAATTTAGCTTTTTTATTTTAAAGAAGAAAACAAGACCCAGAACAGCAATGACAGAAGACCCAGCTTTTTGCAAGGAGGACCAGAGCTAGATCCTTGATTTTTTGCCTCCCAGTTCAGGGCAAAGTCTTTAATACCAGGAGAAAGCAAATTGATATAACTAGATATTATGAAGAAATCAATTAAGAAAACAAAACTAAAATAGACAGAGTATTTTAATTTTATGTTATGCTTTATAGTCTGATACAAAGTATTCTGAAAATGTTGCCATAATTTCCTCATCTATGGCATGTTCTTGAGTCTTTTTCTTCAACAGTGCTGACAGACATTAAGCCTTCTTTTTTTTTAATCTCTTAGAGGTTTTCCTTTGTAATCAAGATCTTATATTTGTGAGATAACTTCCTAAGGTCAGAAAAGATTATCTGTATCTGTGGAACAGGGATTTCCTCTGTGCCATGTGGAGCGACACCATTTCCTTTAAGACTTGGATCCAAATTTTCTTCTTCAAACATATTAGCTTTCTTTATTTTTTCCTGAGTTATTTTGCCTCTGATTGTGCCTTAATTCTATGTCACTCCAAGTCTCAAAACTATACTTGATGTAATTTGTCCTTCTTTTCAATTAATTTTACAAACATTGAATAAAGCTCTAATCATATTCCAGTTACCATGTTAGAAACTTAGGATAAAAGGGTGAATAAGACAAAGCTTGTACCTTAAAGAAACTCATTTTAATCAGGGATGCATTCATCTGTTTGAAAATTATTAATTAAAGGTTTACTATGTGTCAGTCACTGTTTGGACTGTTGGAAATATAGCAGTGAAGAAAACATACAGAAAGCGTAACTACTGAAAATCCAGGAAATTTTATAATGGATTGGATATTATCCAAAATGAGGGGATGATTATTAATTTTCTAGTTGTGATAATTATTATGGTTATATAAAATACTTTATTCTTAAGATATGCTTGATGACACGTTTAGAAGAGAAGTGTCAAAACGTATACAACATACTGTCACATAATTCAGGAACGTTTTTCAAACTATTTTAAAAATCTTTTATGAGATCCCCTTTGTGATCAAGCAGTGTATTTATGAGACAATTACCTATAATTAGAGAGTATTATCTGTATTTATTTTATAAAATTTTAAAGTATTTATTTGCATCTTTTTCCAGATAGATAAAGCAAATAATTGAAGTATGTTAACAATCAGCAATTCTCGGTGGTGAGTATAAGAGGGTTCATTGTACAATCCTTAAAACATTTTAAGGATCGGAGGTACAAACTATTATGTATAATATAAGTAAGTTATAAGGATATATTGTGCAGCACAGGGAATATAGGTAATATTGTATAATAACTAGAAATGTAGCATAATCTATGAATGATTTGAACCACTGTGTTGTATACATGAAAATAATATAATATTGCAAATCAACTATACCTCAATAAAAAACTACAACAATTTTTTTCTTTGATATTTTTTCCTTTTTTTAAAGAGTTGGAAAAACATCTGATAACTGGAGCATGCATTCAAGAGGGTAGAGACAGACATAAAGAAATAAGTTAGTCAAATAACATAATATATCAGATGATGATAAATACTATGGGGAGTCAAAACAGAAAGGGGAATTAGGGATATAGTTTTAACACAAATAATTGATAAATCTATGTCCTTGAATAATATTTCAAGTCTCACAGGCACAATGACTAAGAAGTGATTTATCTTCTGTGGGGTGGTTGGAAAAGACCTTGAGTAGAAATTACTAGAGCAAGATGTTAAAGGACAAGTGGAAATTTGCTAACAAGAGTAGAAATTACTAGAACAAGATCTTAAAGGACAAGAAGGGCGGGGGCTAAACCATAAGAGAGTATTCTGAGACAGATTAATAGTGAGAATGAGTGATTCCCAAGCTCTACTAAAAAGATTTTGGTTCAGGAATTTTACAATCTGCATTTTATAAAGCTCCACAGGTAATTCTACTGTGCTCCAAAAATTGAGATTCTGAGGCAGAAATAGGTATAGCTTGTGGGAAAAGAGAAAACTGGCAAGTGGCTGGAAGTACATGCTGTTGCTAAGCAAGAAAGAGGCTTTATAGCAAGATAAAGATCTTGAAATTTGCTGTGTAGGCACATGTGAGCCCTAAAAGTCTTCTAACCATGGGTGGTGCATGAGTGATCATATCTGAATTTTAGAAAAATAACTCAGAGGATGCATTTAGGTTGGAGGGAGGCAGGAGATCCTAGAGGCAGGGAGACCAGTTAGGCTACCCACGTGATTTAAATGAAAGTTGATGAAATCTGCTCTAGGACCCTGGTACTTGCAGTAGAAAGATATTTGGAGGGAGACTAGAGATCTTACTCAAGTGATATGAGTGGGAAGGACTCTAAATTTCCTGGTTTTTTGAGTCACTAATGGGCTTAGGGAAAGTAGAAAAAAACAGGTTGGAAGGGACAGAGAGGATCCATCAACTTGCTGTCCTTCAGGCTTGGATCTATCCATAAAGCAGAGGATGAGACAACCATGAAGCTTGAACAAGGGTTGGGGACCACAAATAGAGATTTTGGACACACTGCTTTATGTGTGATATGTTGGAGCCCTGGATCTTGGACTTGCTGAGATAGGTTACTGACATCCACAGAAGATGCTGAGCAAAAGGGAAGCAAATGTGAGCAGCATTTAAGAAATGGCCAGAAGAGGAAGAGACAATGAAAGCCACTCACTCTTTCATGCCAAATAATTTAGAAATTTTTCCAAGGAAGAACAGTGTCTTTTGTTTAATTCCTTTGTACACAATTTCTAAGGCATTTAGTGCAGCACACACAACAGATATTTAATAATCACTTTCTGCACTGATGACCTAATGGCGTGTGTAAGAATCAACTTTTTGCCTATTAGCAATATTTCTAAAGTCTAGATGAAGGACTTGGAGCCTAGTGTCAAATATCAATATTATTATTAATGAATCAAAGAAAATAAAATATATTAAAACTGATCTTCCTGGTTGTTTTTTTTTCAGTGTTATAACTTAACCTAAAATCTAGTTAATTTTAAAAAAAAGACTTCAGACATAAACTACTCACATGTACTTTCCAAGTGGTTCAAGAATTATGTGTTAGCATTTCTATCAACATTTTACTCTTCTTGCCTAACATTTTGGGCTCTTTTTCTCACGGTATGAGTCCTAATAATTTTTAAACATTTAAAAAAACATTTGGCTTCCTTATATGATACTGTTTGTATGGCCTTTGCCAACTTTAATGACACCTCAAAAGTCATACTAGAAACTATTTATTACTTTTCTACAAAAAAGATCGTCTTCTGTCTTCAGTTAACTCTTGTAGCTACTTGTTGCTTATTTTGCAGCTGAACTAATTGAATGAAAAGGCTGTGCTCTTAAATTGTAGGTTGCATGATCATTGCGTCATCAGATTGTGTAGTATAAGCAAAAAGACCAAAATTCTGCATGAATTACTGATTCACTGAAAAGAGGAAAACTAAAATCAATTATAGGGAAGATCACAATGGTTACTCATAAGGCAGCTGGATGACCCTCAAACCACGAAGCATGCAGATGTGTTGAAAGAGGTGAAGAAGGAAAGCATAATATTTATTGGATCTGGTGGCATTTTACAGGATTCGGGCTCATAATTTCCTAAATGACTCAACGGCATTGCACAATTGACGCTTTGAAAAAAAGCAGTTCCTTAAGACAACTCCAAGATACTAAATGGTGCTTACTGATCTATGTTATTAAAGTCCTTCTCCAGTTTACTCAAACACACTCCAGAATGGTCTGTTTACCTGCTGCAACGAATAGTCTCTATTTCATTAAAAATATCTTAAGAGCCCTCACAGCACACATTTGATTTTTAAAATTTTCTTCCATAAGTCTAAATAACTGTAAGATCAGAGCCATAACCCTTCAGTATTTCCTGTGCTATTTTGAGCTTCTTCAAAAGATTTTTCAGTCATTTGCCGAAAAAAATTTCAGCCAAATAATTATTCTTTATTCAGGAGGAGACTGAAAGTATGGGGAACTTAAAAAGAAAAAGAAAAAAAAATTAGAGCAAAGCTGCTGTAATCCCCAAAGGGAAAAACTTCAATCCAGAAAAGTGGATTCCTTTTCAATTTACAGCATAAAAACAATCTTGAAAAAATAAATACTGTGGCTTACACAAGTTTCCATCAGGAAAAGTAGTTTTTCACTAGAAAACCAAACCCCAAGTATGTATAAGAAGTGAGAGGGGACAAGGTTCTGCTATTTATTTGTTTGATCAAGTTCATTAGATTTTTTGTTCGCTGCTAGATTTTATCAGGAACTAGAAAATAATTTTATCGGAAACTAGAACAAAAGGCAGTTAATGACTTTCTGTGCACAAATGGAAGGTTAATGTTTCTCATTTCCAAATATTTAGCACTAGGTAAATTTTTCTTATAGCTGATAATTAATAATTTACAGTAAAAAACGTAAGTTATATTCTGGCATGAGGTTAGCTTTCCTGGGAAATCCGCATACTGACTAGTCACGTTTGTTTACTCATTTATCTTAGCTGTGTTAATAAAATTTAGGATGTTGTCACTAGAAGCAAGAGTTTCATTTGCGAACATTCCTTTAGGAAATACACTATGTTTAGACAGACTTTTAAAACAATCAGCATCCGCACCAAACATCTGATAAACTGTAAAGCAAGAATAGGTACTTTAATTTTAGATAGAGTAACGATGACTTATTTCCTCTCATTGCAGGTCAGCGGCTTCTTTTATAACTGGGAGCGATGTTGAGCGGGAGGCACTGCAACTGGGCTTTGGGAAGACTAGGGAGAGATGTTCTGTAACACTTCTAATCAGAGTTGGCGTCACAACTTCACTTAGTCTCCAGACTTATGAAGTCCAAACTCTTTTCTAATTAGGTTGTAATTTACTGAAGGTGTTAATTGCTTTTTTTCTTTCCATGCCAAAAAGCATGCTTTGGGGATAAATGATCCTTACATTTAAGTCAGCGTAGGGAATCTGAGGATGTCTGTGCATCCAGTAAGGCAGCATTTGGAGATATTTCTGACATGTGTATTAGGAAAAATTTTCAGAGATTTATATCCTCTCCTCTAGTCCTCCCCTGAAATGAACAAAGGGATTTCTACAATTTGGCTTGATGAAAATGAAGAATGATAAAATTAGATCATTGCCCCTCCTTTTTTTTTTTTTTTTTGCATTTTCTTCAAATCTCCATCAAAGGCTCTTAAATGGCATACATGTTAATTTATGAAAGAACAGCTCTTGGATTTGCCCACATCTAAAAACCAAACGATTGTGTGAAAATCCTAGCCTCTGTTGTTCCTTTATTGGGAAAGTCTTTGAAAACCAAAGAGATTTGTATGAACTTCAAAAAGGTGTGATGGCCCATTGTTTGAACTTCTGTGAGAGAATTCTCCCACTTAGTCATAGAACACAGCGCTGTGATTTTGGAAACTCAGATCTACACAGGATGTTAGTGCCTGCACACGTGTCTGCCACTGTGATGTGGGAAGGACAATACCTCCAGGTTTATAAGGAGACCAGCTGTAAACAGGATGCTCAGTAACAGCTACGGACACAGTGCCTCTCTCCTTGGAGGGAGAAGAAGGTTTGAAAGCATTAACAGCAACATTCCACAGAAATAAATATAAAAAGCACATTCAAATCCTTTTCCCAGTATCTTTTATATATTCTATAGATGTCCCAAACACAGAAGCCTATTTTAGACCATAGATTAATAACATTGTAGATCATTCTTCGTATATTCCAAAACAGCACACACATAATTTCTTTTTTTAAAGAAGCACTTCATTTTATGGTGATAAATGAAAAATAAAACAAGATGAGTGATTTGATCTGGACATTCCTGAATTCTCTTCAGATCAAAAATAATAAGGGTTTATTATTTTATGCAACATATAGAAATGGCTTTTTGATGGATTTAAATGCAAAGTTTTTCTGTACATTAGTTTTACAGGAATTAAGCTATATCATTATGTCAAGGTATAAGCCCAGTTTAGTAGGTCTTATATTGCTGTAAACAATGAGCTTATAACTGTTGGACTTTCTATCAGTTTGGAAAGACACAAGCTAAGTAACTCATGAATATTTGCCTTTAGTTGATACTGGCTGCTTGGGCAAGCTAATAGAGGACCTTTTAGGCAGCTCCCATATTCTCTATGAGTTATCTCCATGATATCCTTATCAGTAATCAATAATCAATTATCACTTGTGGTCAGTCTCAGTTCTTTTAAAGGGCAGAATCAGTGTAATGAGTCAAAGGAAGGTAGAATCCAACTTTGCCAAGAAGTGCTTTGCCATAGCCAGTTTCCCAACTCATTATTACAATTCTTGGGCTTTCTCGTTCCCTTCTCTGCCTTTTATCACGGCAAACCTCCCTTAGCCTCACCCCTTACACCTCTTTTTTCCTCCTTGAGTGAAGCTGACATCAGAAAGAACCTGCAACTGCACCCCAGGCCAATCTTACCTGTAGTTTTGATTGTTTCCCCCTCCTGTCCTCTTGAGCTATCTTCTTTCTGCTTTCCGTTCTTGCTTCATGCGTTAGCTTCTCATTTAAATGCATCTTCAACTCATATTCAAGATTCTATGATCTTAAAAGAAAAATGCGAATTAACAGTCACTTCTGTTGTGTATGCTTCATGTACTTGACCCCTTCTTCTTTTCAGAGCCAAACTTCTCAAGTCATATTCTTTGTTTCTATTTACCATTCAATGCACTGAAATCTGGCTTCAGTCCTTCCATCTGCCCTTCACCTTGGCTCAGCTCTCATTGATTCATCAGTGAAGTACTCGTGGTTAAATCAACACTTTTGTTTTCAGTCTGGGTGTTACTAGACTGTTCTTAAGCATTTGAAACTGTTCATCATCCTTTCCTTAAAACTTTTAAGTCCTTGGGTTTTGGTGACAACCTGCTTTTGATACTTCCCTGACTTTGATTACATTTTGATCCCTTTATGGACTCTGCTTTCTCCAGCATTTCTAAATACTGACCATCATCAGGTGTCCGTCCTGTGGTCTTCTCCTCCTTCATACTCTTCCTGAATGCTCTCAACTCCTAACTAGATGTGGACAACTCTTGCTGTGAGCTGACCTGAACACAATCTTTAGGTTTTTTGTGGCAAATAACGGTGGCCAAAGAAGAGATTTTGAGAATGGTGGTAGGAACTAGCTACACCCCACTATCATTACCAGGTAACAATAATAATCGCTATCACCAGCAAGTCTCTGAGCAAATTTTGCTATGTGTATAAAATATTTATTATCTAAATATTTATTAGAAAGTAATCACCAAATAATTTGTGCTGTCTGCTCTGTAAGTCTGAGGAAAGTCCAGAGGCAGTGGTTCTGTCACCTCTACCATCAGCATCTGACAATCAGAATCCTTCCAGAGTCACAGTTTATACTCGCCTATGACATCACTAAGAGTCCAGGCTACTGGCCCTGCTGGTTTCTGTTACATGTATAGGAATGAGTAGGAATATTTCTCAAATATTTTATCCAATCCACATGTAGTTAATACCTTTACTTTCATTGAAAGTACATTTCATTGAAATAATTTAAAAGTCACTCATTTCACAGATGAAAACCCATTTCTGAAAATTACTATGCTAATGAGCAAAGGATTGGTTTTGATGGAGACCCAGATGACCGAAGTGCTTGTACTCAAAGGAGATGACTCTGGAATGTGGGTTTTTTCTTTTTTAGCTTTATTGAGGCATAATTGACAAATAAAATTGCATATATTTAAGGTGTACAAGATGATGATTTGATAAACATGTGATTGTAAAGTGATTACCACAATCAAGTTAATTAACACATCCTTTTCCTCACAGTTATCATTTTTTGTGTATGTATGTGATGAGAACACTTAAGATCTACTCTCTTAGCAACTTTCAAGTAAACAATGCAGCATTATTAACCATAGACACCATGCTGTACATTAGATCCTCAGGACTTACTCCTCTTAGATCTGGAAGTTTGTACTCTTTGAGCACCATCTTCCCCTTTCTCTCTCCTCTCAAACCCTGGCAACCACCATTCTACTCTCTGTTTCTATGAGTTCGACTTTATTAGATTTCACATATAAATGAGATCATACAGTATTTGTCTTTCTCTCTCTGGCTTATTTCACTGAGCATAATGGGGTTCTTGGGTGGATGGTCAGCTACTCTTCTTGGACTATGCATGTTTGATTAGAGATGAGCAGAATCTGGTTCATAACCTAAGTATTCTACATAGAATATCACACTGTAGATGTGGAAGTGTTTTAAAGTTAATTATAAACATCACAGCAACACCATAGCAATTCTAATCCCAGGTAATTGTCTTCATCTCAAAACTTTCATCGCAATTCCAGACTCATATGCAAATAATTACATTAAAAACTCAACTTGAATTCATATTTACTCCTTCTCCAATTCCCAAATGTTCCTTCTTCATGTTTCCCAATCCTTTGTAGTAGTGTACGGTCAGTTACCCCCACCCCTTCCCAGACTCTTACACACATGTAATCACTCAACAAGTCCTGTCAGTATTGGAGCCAAATTCTTCAAGTCCCAATTCTATCTTTTACTAGCTATGTGACCTTGAGCAAGTTTCTTAACCTCTCTGAACCTCAATTCCCTCATCTTTAAAACAGAAACAATAACATCTGCTTCACAGGTTTAGTGTAAGGGTGAAATGAAAGTAAGTAGAACGCCAAGCATAAGACTTGGAACATAATAAAGTTTCAAGAATTGTTAATTTCCTTTCTTCACTCTTTCTCTAACACCATCACCATCATTTGGTAACTGAGTCTGTGCCTGTAAACTAATTCATAATTAATTCATTCAATAAATATTCATTTATTCCCTCATATTCTTAAAAGGTATTCAAAGTACTGGGAACACAGTTGAGGTAAGAGAGAGGGAGAGGTGGGAATACAGGTATGGGTTACATCTTATACTGTGTATCCAACAGGCCTAATATGTTGCCTTGCACATAGTGGGTACTTAATAATTGTTGTTGATGGCAGTGCTTTGATAAGTCTAATAATGCATTCCTCTTCCAAGGATTCTCTTTTTCTGTCTCACTCTTTACATAACAAAGTCAGTACAATTTTCTTAAGGCTCATATTATTTTTGTTGGGAAAGAAGATTTGGGAGCTTCAATTATTGACTCAGCAAACCACAGGATGTCTGTGCAGAGAGTAGACCGCAATGGTCTTGTGGTAAGCTTGCATGGACATGGAGCTTGCCTGGGACCCTCCAGATCTTCCAGTTATGCCATGTGACCTTTCATCAACTCAGCAATGACATAGATTCTTCGCTTTTACTAATTTTTGAGACCTTAAGTGAAATGTGGTAGATACCCATGCCCCATCCAAGTAAAAACTCCTCATATTTAACAATCACACTTTCATAAACAGAGACCTTCAGTTTAAAATGGAAATAACAATGAGAAAAAGTGTACACTAAATGTTTGCAATGTGAATCTGGCCTCCAAACTCAAGACCAAGTGAACCCTCTGCTTTTCAAAATCAGAGTTCCCATGTAACCATTTCAGAGAAGCCTGTTTGAATGCACCTATTCACTCCTTTTTTGGAACTTGGCAACTGTATTTTTTTCTCTGCTAGGAAGTATCTTATGTGTGAAAGAAAACTGCCGAGTGTCTTTCTAACAAAGGAAAACAACTACCCTCAAAAGGCTCAACCAGTTCATAAATCTAGAAATACTAGAGTTAGGAATTAAGATCCAAACTTCAATGATAGAGTATTTAAAATGGCAATTTTAAAGCAATTTTGGAAATGCATGGTATTTTTTGGTGATATGCAGTTCTCAGAAGGACATATTCAAAAGTTGTGTGTAGTGACTGGTTTGGGGTTCATTAAATTTCAGAAACAACTTGTCCCAGGGCTGACTTTCACTGTCTCTCACATTCTTGAGATCACTCTTCTATGTGTTAACTTCATGAGGGCAAAGCTGTTTGCAAGAAGAAGACTTTCAGGCAAAGACATTGAAGAAAGAGACTGGCACAGAGTTGCAAAAGCTTCCCAGTCAAACCCAGACCAGGTCCCTTAATTTTTCAAACCTGTGCATTTTAAGAAAATTTAATCCACATGTGTTTTATTCACTTACAATGAAACCATGGAATCTTTAAAAACAGCTGTTTAATGTCAAAAAAAAAAAGTTGTTTCAATGTTTTAGCTTCCTCCAGTCAAAACCAGAGCTGTGATTTCTCCATCAGAAATTGATTTGAGGATCAAAGGCTGAAATTCAACTTGAAACCTAAACCTAGTCTTCTGAGGTGAATGTTTAAAATCTATCAAGTGTTGTTCCTCTTAGAGAACTCGTAAACTGAGGAGAGATTTTGTTCTTTTAAGTCAGTTTGACAATGAGATTTGGGGAAATTTTTATTTGGGGACATTTGAAATGTTAAAAATCAAAAAGCAATAAGGCCAAAGAAAAATTGATGTGTTGTTATAATGCTTTTCCATTCTGAGAGATCACACTGGTTCACCAAATATAAATTAAACAGTTTAATATTGCATTAGTCAGGGTTCTCCAGAGAAACAGAACCAATAGAATATATGTGTTTATATATAAAGAAATTTATTGTAAGGAATTGGCTCATGCAATTAGAGAGGCTGAGAAGTCCCAAGATGTGTAGTTTACAAGCTAGAGACCCAGGAAAGCCAGTTTGTAGTTCAAGTTTGAGTCCAACAGCCTGAGAACCACGTGAATTGATGGTGTAAGGTCCAAGGTGAAGCAGGAAGGGAAAAGATCTAAAAACAGCTAATGTTTCAGTTGAAGTCTGAAGGCTGAGACAGACCAATGTCCCAGGTCAAACAATCAGGCAGGATAAATTTCTCCTCACTCAGCCTTTTTCTTCTAGTCTAGTCTTCACCTGATGGGGTGAGGCCCACCCACATTAGGGAGGGAAATCTGCTTTACTTAATCTATAGAGTCAGATATTAAGGTCATGCAGAAACACTTCCTACAGACACATACAGAATAATGTTTGGCTAAAAGTCTGGACACCCTGTGGCCCAGTCAAGTTGACACATAAAATGAACTATCATAAATATGTTCTAGCACAGCTTTAGTCACTGAAAAGGCCATGCTAACAATGTGTGCCCTCTTCTTGAAAAGCTCATAGTCTCAAAAAGGCAGCCAAGCATGTATACACAAAATTCCAATGCAAGGTGATAAATCCAGTGCTGTATGGCTCAGAGAAAGGGTGAGGGTATGAGTAATTACTTCCATAGAGCTGTAAGGAGAAGAGTTACATGCCTTGTGGAAAAATGCTGAAAAGGAAACATCTGCCTTTCCCCTTTACATGACTGCTATGTGAATCAAATAACTAAACAATAATAGTTTTTATTTATTAAGCCACTAGTCTATGCTTGGTAGAGTGCTAGGCATTCATCTTGAATCCTCACAACCTGGTAAGAGAGTTGTTGCTATTATATCACTTTATTGTTGGACAAAATGAGATCAGGAAAGTTAAATGGCTTTTCCTAGTTTCCCAAGGAGGATTGAAATCCAAGGTTACTTGGTTGATTCAAAAGTTGATGCTCTTCTCACTACTCTACACAACTTTGATTCAAGAGC